CATGTTGAATTTATTTTGACCTTATGATAATCCTCCCATTCATTTGCTTACTCCACCAATGTAAATTTGATCTCTAGTTGTTTTGTCTATCCGTACCCGCCACTCACCTTGCCGCGGAGGCCACCCTTTCCGACACCCGTTTGTTAACATGTATGTCTGTGTGTGAATGTGCGCTGCTGACCTACTTACCAATTTGCGTGCATGTCTCGTTTGCTGAGCCTGCCTTGACTTGTTTTCTCATGGGCGCAGAGTGATCGCACGTTCAATGAGAATCCCGGTCCTGTCGCCGGAAGGAACGACCGCAACCCACGCTACTGAGCCATCATTCCGCGTGCCGTTTTTCTGTGTGCGGATGTTGACACTGCACTGAGTTGGTCATGACAGACCTGCGAACTTGGTGACGCTACGAACGTGAACAATTAAGGTTTGTTTTACACACCTGCTTACCCTTGTTTAAATAGTACCGTAGAATTACGAACCCAATTCTTCTTTTTGATATTCGGGATTGTCGAACCAAGCGTCACTCAAACTTCCGTTTCGGGACCCTCAACACTGCATTAGTTCCCGTTTTAAAGTGCACCTGATTTGAACGTTGTATCTTTGTAACCGCTGTGTTCGAAGTTTTTTCACGCTGCATCTAACCATTCCTTCCTATTTTTTGATTAAATATATTGTTACGTCAGACTGTCGTTCCCTAATCAGTGCCCTGTTCCGGAAGACTCACCGATAGGGAACCCAACAACTTTATTGCAAAGAAGAATTTTGAGTGAAACACTTACAAGCGACCTCACGCTATTTGAATTTTGAATTCAATGATCCAGGCTGTTGCTAAACTGATTGAGTGCTTGATTATTCTGGATGCTTGTTAGCTTTCCTGTCTAGATTCTGGTGGAGTTTTATGGTCTCAGTAGGTGTTGGTTGTTCTGGACTTACTTTCGGATATCTTATCTTACTGATAATCCCACCGTTGGTCATTCAACATAAGATTGTCGGCGCGGCTGAAGTTCCACCAGTCTCTTGGGATGACCCGTGCGGCGTCTCGGTTGAGGCAATGGACTTTTTTGGATATTACTTAAGAAGAAGTGGCTACTGGTACTTATCAATGGTTTGAACCAGCAGGTTGAACTCTTATAACAGTTTTTCCGCATTTTAGATCTAGCGCTCAGTCGGCCGCAGCTGATTGACACATACTTTTAAATCAGTGATCGCACTTGGACGCTGTGAATAACCTGACCGATATTCTAGAGAGCGAATACAACAGACCATCTTCGGCGCTCTGGCTAATAGTCTCTTACAATCACATTATTTCTAAACCTGGAATTTGTTTTTTGTCATTGGTAAAAGATGCAAGCGAGCGACCCAATCTATGCCTAGAAGATTGGGCTCACGATCAGCTAGATTGATACAATTACTGTGACCCATCTGCATCTCACAAACGAATTCACCAAAAATTTGAAGATTACCAACTGACGCATTTCTGGCGGTCGTAATTTCGGTGATCACATCTTCCTTTAAGCGCGCCAGGGAACAATCCACATATCGAAAGCTATATCCAGCTGCAACCAAACCGCACTTCCGTTTGCTCTCAGTGTAACGTAATCGTGAAAAGCACCGTTTTGGTTATCAAATTTCGCAAGTGTTGCGTTCAAACGGAGTTTTGACTTGCTCCCTCCGCTTAAGGTATTTCTGCGTCTTTGGCTAGTTTTTGCGCTAGGCACTGGTTTTCTCTGTACCGACGCCGATTGCTCGTTGAACATTTGTGCTTTTTATATGGACAATCGTACAAAGTGCCATCCGAGAACTGTCAATTCTTCTTGACAACTGTGAAATATCTTGGGTTCAACTTCGACGCCTCTGGTCGCCATCCCGACCCGGAGAATATCCGAGGTACACAGCAGATGCCGCCTCCTAAAGATGTCCCATCCTTACGCTCTTTTCTGGGGCTGATCAGTTATTATTCGGCAGTCCTGCCTGTGCTACACAACATCCGGCCTCCGCTTAATCGGTTGCTTGGAAAGGACATCCCGTGGTGCTGGTCAGAAGAATGTGAGGAAGCATTCTGCAAGCTGAAAACCATGCTCAGCTCTGGACCAATGCTGCGTGATGAGTGGCCGTTGGGCCCAGATTTTAGACCAATCAGATCTCAGCTTGATGCGAGGCCGGCAAGCGTTCCAAACTTTTGGCCAGTAATGTGCTGGATAGTCTTCTCGACCATAGCAGCACATGACTGTAAGCCGTAAAGCGGGATCCGGGTGGTATTCCGCCTAACACCAATCCAACATGACCGTGACTGCAATTCCCGGTTGTATGGCCGCCGTTTCACCCTACTTACCGATCATAAACGATTGCTCTCCATTTTCGGCTCAAGGAAATGTGTTCCCGCACACTCTGCCAACCGCCTGTAAAGATGGGCCCTGATTATGCTGGGTTATGACTTCGATAGTCAATATCGGCGCACCACCGACTTCGGTCAGGCCGATGCATTATCTCGGCTGATCAACAACCAGCCAACACCCGAAGAAGACACGGTTATTGCGCATGTTGCACTTGAGGACCAAGTCGACCCCCAGTTGGTGCAGTCTGTTTGTGCCTTACCCGTGGCAGTAACAGAGGTTCAAAGAGCGACCGCAGCTGATCGAACGCTTCAAAAGGTGAGCCAATTCATGAATTCTCGGTGGCCCTCGAATCTCGACAGCTCTTTCATCGCCGAGATGCATTAGCGATCGTAAAAGATTGTTTAATGTTTGGAGATCGCGTGGTGATTCCTCAATCTTTACGCCATCGAGTTCTTCGCCAGTTCCATTCTGGACATCCAGGAATCAACCGTATGAAGTCAATAGCTTGCAGTTACGCATACTGGCCGCACATGGACCGGCACATCACTGATTTTGTAAAACGCTGTTCCCGATGTCAACAAGCTGCAAAGAATCTGCCACATCAACCACCATTCCCTGGCCTCGACCTGAGAAGCCCTGGTCTCGGATCCACATTGATTACGCAGGACAGATACGGGGCAATTTTTATTTGGTTTTGATTGACGCTTTTTCCAAGTGGCCAGAAATCGTTCCGGTGTCATCTCCAACAACATCTAGTACGCTGAGAGTGTTATCCAACATTTTCAGTCAGCATAGTCTCAGACAATGGTTCGCAGTTCACCTCTGCTGAGTTCCGCGACTTCTGCACTCGACATGCGATAACACACGTTCGTTCACCACCGTACCACCCACAATCGAACGGTCAAGCAGAAAGGTTCGTCGACACATTCAAAAGGGCCTTGCTTAAAGCTCGAAGGGGGGAGACATCCGTCGAAGCCCTTCAGAGATTCCTGTTT